TGATGTCGATGTATTTTATATTCTTTTTTTTTTTTTTGTCGCCAACGATTATATATTCAGATTCAAGAGTAATAATACCACCTTCTTCTTTAATAATAAATTTTCGTGCAGAGCTACTGTACGCTTCGTCAGCTTTTTCTGCAGTCAGTGCAGTCAACTGTGCTATTGTTTGGACAATTTGAGGATTCACTTCAAAAGCAAATAAAACATTTTTTTCAAAAAAAAGCGACAAAGGGCTCATTGCCGCGAGTACATCTAGATACGCTCCGGTTTTGCATAGAAAAGCATATTTTGTTAATTTCTTTACAAGCCCCTGTATTTTGGCTCTTGTTTGGTTACCATACCCTTTGTTAGTTAGTGCATTTGGTAAGGCAACTAGATAAGCTGGCCAGTTATGCATTAAACTAGTGTAACCCTTAACTCGATGCGATGCAAATCGGGTTCCTTGAATTTTATTTAGAGTGTAATACTCGATAGATAAAGCAGCTGCAGCATGTTTGCATGACTCCTTCAGTTTACCTGACTTTTTTAAAAGATAAAATAGAGTTGTATAAAAATTGTCGCAATCCGTAAAGTCTTTAAATTGTTTTATAGCGTCTTTTAAAGCAAGCTCTAATCTGTGATTAACACAGTGTATGTTAACTAACCATGGTCTTGTTTTTTTTAATTGAGTTAACGCACCACTATAGATACCTAGATTAACATTCGCTCCATCAGCTGTTGCTGATACCAGCTTTGTACGATAATTCGTAACGGATAATGGAATATTGCATTTAGCTATAACGTTTTCAATAAATACACTATCCAATGCCAATTTCAAGGAGTCAGCATCAACTCCACCAAAATCCGTCATATTACACAATGCAACAAAAAAATAACACGGGATACCAGCATTTTCAACTCTAACTAATATGGCTTCTTTTTCACTGCCTGTTTTCCGCGCTTGGCTACCATCGGATAGCAAAGCCATAAAAGATTTGCTAGCAATAATAGTCGCTACTTTCACTTTTATTACCTCGGCAATGCAATGAATAAATTCTCTGGCTAAAATAAAAATACAACTTAAATTAACTTTAACTTTAATTTAAAAGTTATTCCAAAATAATTATGTAAAATTACATTGAAATATTGAAAAATATTAAATCATAAATTGTATATATTTAAAGTGTTAAATATAAAAAAACGATAGTTACGGTATTTCTTAAGGGCTACCGCCCCCTCCCCACCTGTTCCCACACCAATGTGTGTGTATATATATATATATATATATATATATATATATATATATATATATATATATATATATATATATATATATATATATTAAATGAAGTTACCAGCATTTGTGTTGCTTTTTCCGTGCATTAATTGGACACCATTATCACGTTGAACCTTTATAAGTATCTCAAAATGACTATGTGGCATAGCAGGATGTAATGCCATTTCATATGCAGTGCGCATTAACTTTAAGATTGCTTCAAAAGTTGATGCATTTTTTGAGTTATCAGTATCCGTTATAGGACTCTGAGATTCATTTATTTTAACTATAGAAGGAGAGTTACTAATTTCCTCCAATCGCGCAGCCTCTTTATGTGCCTTTGTTGATAAATGCCTCATAACCTGTAATATAGGTATAATAAGTAAGATTACATCGTAATGTATAGCTATATATTTTTTACCTTTTTAATGTACTATACATTATAAATATTAAACCTGATGATGTGTTACAACATTTGTTCCATTTGTAAAAGCATTTAAGGAATTTCTAGCAATCCCCAATATTGAAGTGTGAATGCTGTTTTTATGTTTAGCGCACAGTTTGCACCAGATTTTAACTACAGTTTCTATATCGTTCAATTTTATAACTTCTTGACCGAGAAAATCATATTTCCACGATTGAACAGTTTTTAGTGATTTTGTGATAGGTTTTGTAATACTCATTTCTCTACTCTCTCTCGACTTATTCTAACCTGATTATTCAGAGTCAAGTCTCGCCTTTTATTACGTTGAAATTATTCAATTGCATAATTTTGTAATTACGAAAGAAGTTTAAAATAATTGCATTGCTTAAAATAATTGCCTTGCTTCTGTAATTATTGTTACAAAAATAGCTCCCTCGGGACATTTACTTTTAACACTCGTTCATAATGTCAATTAATAATTGCAAAACAAAATGTTAATTAATGATTGCAAAAATTTTTGCGCTCTTTTGTGTATCAATACATTTAAACATTTAAATGTATTTACGAAACGATTAAACACATAAATTTAAAAAATTTTTATAATTCTAGCGTGAATTTTTAAGTATTATCGACTGATAAAATGGTAAACAAATTTTACATTACAAGGTCTTTTCATTTTCATTAAATTTATATAAACTATAATCTTTTTCTTTTTCCTTGTTTTGTAATGATTTGATTTTTCATAGCTGAATTAACTACCACTCTAAAAAGCAAGAAAAAATAAATAAATGAAATATAGATAAATCTTTGTTTTATTAATATTCATTACTTTTTTAATTTTAAAGCACAAACAGATTTCTTTTATTTACTTTAGCATTGCTTGTATTTTTGCGGTATTTTTGTTTAGCTTTGTTTTGGCGCAAATTCTTGAAACGCGTAATAATAAAACGTGGTCAGTTAATCAAAAAAATTTATTCTATGCGTGGACAAACAAGGCGTGCGACCGCACGCCTTTCCTGGGAAAGCCTGATATATATATATATATATATATATATATATATATATATATATATATATATATATATATATATATATATATATATATATATATATATATATATGTTTTGGTATGAATCTGGCAAAGGTGGTGATGTTGTTTAATGAAGATCAACAAAATTACAGTTACACGGACCAAGACCAAATCAAAGAGGCATTTCATTATGTATTATTTAAAATAAAGAAATACTGGAACTTGTGTCATCGACAAACAAAAGATTTGTATTATTTTTATATTGTGGTTCTTGCATGCACATTTCTTTTACATTGACTATGCCTTTTTTGTATAAATTAATTAAAAAACCCTTTTAGCGTATAAAAAAAATGTTAATGGTTGATACCAATGAGTAAACTATTTTAATTTGTAGAGTTGGGCTAAACCTAAAGTTGTATATTTACAATAACTACTACAACAAAGCAAATGTTATTGTCACTATTCAAATTAGGTGTCTAAAGCAACAAAACAGTTTATAAAAGTAATATCTTTACAAATCACATATCAAAGTTTGTTACAATACTGTTAATGGTTTAAAAAATATTGTCTCAAATTGACTTTGAAATTAACAAAAAAACCTGGTTGCAATGGAATTGAATTATCCATTGCAACCAAGCAACAAAAATATTACCTTCATAAGAAGCACAGACTTTATATTAGTACACATCCCAGGTTTAGTGAACATATGACAAATACGTAAAAAATTATGAATTTTGTCTCAAAAACTGGTATTCTGACCCACTGTATAATGCACTCTGGGATGGGGCATTCGTGCCTGTGTTATGTATGAAGCATTGTTATTAGTTTTTTGTATCATTGCCATTATTTTTTTTAATGCAGGATGTTTTGACATTAGTTGAACAACTTAATGTTGCTGGTATTCGATTTGTACATTTTTCTTATGATAATGAGCTTCTTAGTAGGGTAAGATCAACTTTTACATAAATTTTAAAAAACTTTTTTAATGAAGATTTATTTAAAAATGTATTATACATGTTATTTGCATTTTAGAAAAAGTTTCATTCAGAATCATATATTAAATTTTTGCAAAATTAGTTCCTTTTTTTTTTTTTTTCTTTTTTTTTTTTTTTTCTGTTTAATTTTAAGAAAAATTAAAATTATGAAAAAGTATTAAGTTAATAAATAAATTTTTTGATTTTTTGAGGCCTAGAACAGGCATGTTGAATCCAATCTCTTTTCTATAACAGCTTGGGGCTTGCAGTGACCAGTGAATTTTAACCCAACCAAAACTTAGTTACTTATTACTAATAATTATCACTTCAATATCAATATTCTTAATTTCTGTACTCCCAATTCCATTCACTACCTCCATAAATCTCTAATATATATTAATACAACCAGTATGTAGCATGTTGAATAAAACAACCACATTCATTTAATATTCACATTAAAATAATGTTTCATAAAAGTCATGTGTTGGTTTTTAACTTATGACTTTTATATATTGCAAAATTTATATTATCATTTTAAATGTTTTTAAACCACTACTTTTTATTTATCAATGTTCAACTATTAAAAGTTGATGAAAAGAGATTACTTAGACAATAATTTTTACAACAACAAAATAATTTTCAATGTAAAAAATTATAGATCTTTTTCTAATGTTAACTTAAAATTGGCTTTTAATAACATTATTTGTATTTTCATTTTTTTGTAGCCACTTGCATCAGTAGCTATTTTTATTTGTAGCTATTTTATTTTTAACTATTTTTATTTGTAGCTATTTTATTTTTAACTATTTTTATTTGTAGTAGTCATTTTTATTTGAAGTAATTTTTTTATTTGAAGTCATTTTTATTTTTAGTTATTTTTTAATCTATAAAAATTTTGTTTTCAGAAAAAAAAAATTCTCTTTAATATTTGTAACTCAATTTATTTAGGTATTTTGTCAGCGTTTAGGATTAGAAACAGGATGGAATTGTCATATTTCACTCAGTGATGATAATGATTATATTGAGTATTCATCTTCAGCCATTTCTGATTCCTGCCCATTTTTGTATCAAGAAGATGTTGAGGGTTTTAACCGTATGTTTTTAAAAATTGAACAATGTTAAAAAAAAAAAATGTTTACAATAATATCATTTTAAATAATATTTTAATAATATTTTCAATAATAATATTTTAAATTTATATTAGTCTCCAATATGTTTTTCATATAGATGATTGATTCATTATTATTTTTTTCTTTTCTTAATAAACTGATAACATTTTACAATTAGGCAGTTTTAGGCGTAGAGAAAATGAGT